TGGTGGCTGTCCCAGGGAGTGGGCGGCCCTGTTGGGTAGTGGCTGTCCCAGGGAGCTGTGCTGGCCCTCTTGGGTGGCGGCTGTCCCAAGGAGCTGGGCAATCCCTTGCTTTCTAGCACAAATCTGGCCCAGCAAGACCATGTCCAGGAAACAGCTGGCTGCAGCCACTTGCTCAGGGCCTTGAGAAGCTTCCCTGGTAAAGGTGGGGCCGACAGCACGTACTCCGGGATGAGGACACATGGACTAGTAATGAATTCAGGCAGCACGTACTAGGGACCTACTATGTGCCAGGCTGCTCTCTGGGTCAGCATAAAGGACCCCCGAGGCCACTGGTCTCTGTCTGGGGCCAGGGACATACCTGCACAGGCCCGACATGTTCCAACCTCAGGAAAATGGGCTGAGGTCTCCGTCAGCACAGAGCCACAGGGAGGGAACAACACAGGCTTCAATTTCTTTGAAATCAGAAAAAATACACATAATTCAGCCTGCGTTAGATTCATCTTTATACCAGCACGGTCATAAAATTAAAGTTCAGTGACTCACAAAGGTCATACGTGGCCTGGCTGGAAGCTGCCCAGCACATGTTCACACACTCACAGACACACACTCTCACCCAGGCTTGCACACACATGCAGTCATGTACACACACTCACACAAATGCATTCTCAACTCATGTACACACACACAGTCATTCATGCACATACGTACACACAGTCACTCACTCAAACACAGACACACTCACATAGTTACATACACACACATGCACAAGTGCACTCTTACACAGACACACACTCACATAGTTACATGCATGAGTCGCACACACTGTTCACATACACACAGAGGACAGCCCACCTGAGGAAGATGCTCCTGCGACAGGCATGAACCTTCCAGGCTGGGCCCAGCTTTCCTCCCAGCTCTAACGGCAGACTGTCGGGGCCGGGGCCCAGGATCCACAACACCCACTTGTCCCCAGAGTCATGGTAGTCATTTCCTTGGGAAGACGGAGAGTGCCTTGACCCCAGCTCTCTGAGGTCGTTCTCAGTGCAGTCATCCATGTGAGTCATGGAGCCTTGTTGGGCTCAGAGGATATGGCCGTTGGGTTACAGGCATTCCAGAACTTTCTGTCCCCACTCCTGGACACTGAGCACCTTATCTTTGCCGTCCACTCAGCAGATTTGACAAAGCATCTGTTTTGGGGCTGGTCCTGACCTGAAGTGGAAATATGGTGGTCAGTAAAATCTGATGTCCCCTCTCCCCCGGAGACGCTGACAGTCTAGATGAGGATGCTTCCCAGGACACCTCTCTGTCCCCGTGAGGGCTCACAGAAGGCCTAGTCTGCATGCCCGATGCTTAGATGAGCTGCAGGCAGGTGCCATTCACGTCACCTAACTCCGGGGACTCTTTTCTCCCCAGACGATCATTCCAGAGTGGTTTTGAGCCAAGTGGATGGGATTCCCTGTTCGGACTATGTGAACGCTTCGTACATAGACGTAAGTTGCCAGTTTTCCATCCCTCCATCCAGCACAAAGCACACTCCTGGACCTTTGGTTGTGGACTGTGAACTATGACCGGTGGCCCTTTCTTTCCTGGTGCCAGGAATGGAAATTGTCATAGCCTTTCTGGGCAGTTTGTCCACGGCCCCGAGAACATGAGAAGCATCCATGCCTCTCAGTCAGCTTCGGCCTGTACTTATTCTCCAAAAGCACAGAGAGATGTTCTTTACAGTACTGTTTATACCACTGGCAGAAGGGGATGGAGTGCAGTTGAACAGGTGACAGAAAACCACAGGCAGCAGGGAGCTGAAAATCCATCCTGATTGAACTTTAAAAGATTATTGACTATGGAGGACTCACATTTAAAAATAAGGTATAAAAGAGTTGGTGCGTAGGAACCCAACTAAAAAGACGCAAATTTCTGCGTGTCTGCTTGTGTGTGTGTCTGTGGAGTCCACGGGAGAAGGTCAGAGACAGAGCAGCTGAGGCAACGATGGTTGCTTCTGAAATCACTGATGACTTTCTCTTGTCTTTTACTTTTTTCTGTTTCCCAAATTCTCCATAATGATAATGCATATGGAATTACTTTCCTGATGTCAATTTTCTTTTTCTTTCAGCAAAGATAGTCCTGAAAAATTACAGATTCCATTTTTATTTCTCTAGGGTTACAAAGAAAAGAATAAATTCATAGCAGCTCAAGGTAAGCTCAATATTAACCTGATTTCTGAGTATGACTTGGTAGAATGACGCAGACGGCTCTCACCACCTTCTCTGAGTGGCCACAAACAGGTGGAAACGTAGCTCTGAAAACTCCTGTCTGAGTGACCTGTTACCTCTGACTGCGATAGACCAAAGCAGCCATGGTGGCACAGTGGTTAAGCACTTGGCTGCTAACTGGTAGTTTGATGGTTCAAACCCAGCAGTCCCTCTGTAGGAGAAAGATGAAGCAGTCTGCTTCTGTAAAGATGATAGCCTTGGAACCCAATGAGGCAGTTCTACTCTGTCTTCTAGGGGCACTGTGAGTCAGAGTCGACTCCATGGCAGTGGGTAGAACGACACCCTGGGTTCAGTTCTTTAGCTCCAACTTAAGAGCAGTGGGGCAGGAGCAGGGAGCCTCCTGGTCCCCCCAGCCTCTAGGCCTCTAGGCTTGCTAGAACTCAGCAGGCAGGAAACATTACCAGCCCATCCCTTGTGCCTTGGAGGAGAGGACCAGCCATCTGGGGGCCAGCTGCCAGGGTGGCAAGGGCTGGTCCCGCACTCCTCTTTGCTAGTCTGACTTTCGGGTGATCCTCTCTGTGCAGGCCCTAAACAGGAAACAGTGAATGACTTTTGGAGAATGATCTGGGAACAAAAGTCTGCAACCATCGTCATGTTGACTAACCTGAAAGAAAGGAAGGAGGTGAGCCCCCCCAACTGACTTATGAAGTGGTTTCCCTTCAGCTGCTTTTGTGGGGGATTCTGACCACTTCCTCTTCCCTCCTTCCGCCCCTCTTACCACTGTTGTTGTTGTTAGGTGCCATTGTAAGCCCCAGTGGCTTTCAATATCTTTCTCTTGAAATGAATCCTCTGGGTCCCACGCATCTCGCTCTTCTAGTCTCTGATGGAAGTCCAATGCGAGCATTTCTTGCTCTCAGTTGAGGGTGGTCCTGGCCCATCCGCCAGCTCTGACTCTGGGGTTGGAGTGATGGAGTTAGAGGCTGTGGGACTTGGTACTGAGGTGGGCCTCTTAAGTATAGACAACGTGTGCTGGGCTTATCCAGATTAGAGAAACACACTTGAGCAAGGTTTCTTGAGGAAAGGTTGATTTGTCCTCCAAACACATTGAATTAGGAGGTTCTAATTCAAAACGTCGTGTGTGCGTGCTGTAAGGTTGACGTCTCCATAGGGGAGAGTTGAAGGAACTCATTCCTAATGTAAGCAGTTTTCCTGAGTATCCGCCATGCTGGACTGCACTGTTCCAGCCATGGGGTCCCAGCCAGGGTGTACACAGTGAGGCAGTAACAGACCCTGCTTTCTCTTGTGCTGTATGTCCCACTAGGAGGGCAGGCACAGAGCAAAAGGCAGATCACTGCCGAACACCCCAGGAGGTGATAAACAGCATCGTGGATTTAGTAGGCGGCAGCAGGGGCCAGGAATGGGGAGCCTTTCAGGCACAGCCATGTGAAGGGCAGGCTAAGCAGAGGCACAAAGACCGCCATTCACTTTTTAGCTGAGAGGACCCTGGCCCCTGTGGAACAGAGCAGAGCACAGCATGTGGGCAGTTTCAGTGGTGTGCGGACAGTGGGAAGCCACCTCTGGAGCAGCCCCTCCCTGGGCAGTGGTCTGGGAGGGGCTAGGAAGGGTCTCTTAGGAGACGAAGAAGGAATCCAGAGAGGAAAGCGGCTGAGCAGAGCGGTGTGTTGCAATACCTGGCCTGGGCAGGGAGAAGGAGAGACAAGAAGTACAGGAGACAGTGGGCTGGGGCCAGGTGCCACGGGCCGGAGGCTGAGCTGGGGGAGGAGTCAGCAGGGACCTGTGCTTTTGGAAGTAAACTCACTGCACAAAGTGAAGGAGCTGGAGGGAGACGAGCTGGAGGTGAGGTGGCCAGTTAGGACGCTGTTCTAGCACATTCTAGCATGAGGGCTTGAACAAAGACGGTGGCCCACAGCATGAGGGGAAAGGCCAGTTTGGCGGGAAATGTCTGTTCTGTGACCCCTGCGGGGCCTGGCAGGAGGAGGCACAGCTCATGGCCAGACCCTGGTCCCAGAGGTGGCTTCACTGCACCATGTCCTTGGTCACTCACCCACAAGGGTGATCCTGGCCCACCCCCAACAGCCACCAGGGACCGTGGCCAGACTCTGGGAAGGGCTGCCATTTGAGATAATAGTGGCAGGATGCCTCGGGAGCAGTGTCCTCAGCTGGGGGTAGAAGGGGGGAGTGAAGAGGCTAGCATGTGGCCCTCGGGTTTCCAGGCTCTGCTGCTGTGCTGGGGTAGGGCAGAGTGGCTCCCATCCCCACAGGGCCACTGTCTCTAATTTGTTCCACCCAAAAAGCACAGGAAAAGGCCTTCAACCACCAATTCCGGTGGGGGGCAGGGGCAGGGTTTTTGTTTTGTTTTTGAGGGAGTTGGGACAGGGCTTTGTCACCACGAAAGGATTTGTCATCCTCCGTCATCAGAAGGAGAGGGCGGGCAGGAAGTGGGGGATTCCCTGGCACAGGGCCCCCACCCTCCTGTCACAGTCAGGTTTCTCCAGAGAAATGGAGCCAGTGGGATAGATGTTGATATGAATGTATAAATACACAGACATGTATGTAAGTACACATATCTACACACACACACACACACACATATATCTATATATACAGATAAGGAGCTCTGATGGTGCAGAGGCGTATGACTGCTAATGAGAATGTCGGCAGTTCAAACCCACCAGCTGCTCCATGGAATGAAGATGAGCGGTCTATTTCCCTAGAGACTGACCACCTTAGAAACCCGGTGGGGGCTGCTATGAGCTGGAATCAACTTGCTGGCAGTGGGTTTGGGTTTTGGTGTATGTACACATAGGAAACTCTGGTGGTTAAGGTGTTTGGCCCCTAACCAGAGGGGCAGCAGTTTGAACCCACCAGTTGCTCTGCAGGAGGAAGATGGGGTGATGTACTTTCGTAAAGATTTGCAGCCTTGGAAACACTGTGGGGGTTGCTCTGAGTTGGAAATGACTTCAGTGACAGTGAGTTTGGTTTGGTTATGCATGCATATTACACAGGTGTGCACACATGTATATGCACACATATATGCACATATACACACATATATACTCATAGCTATACGTATGTATACACACGTGTGCAGACACATATGCACACATATCTATGCACAAATATACTCATATCCATACATATGTATATACACAAGTGTGCACACATGTATATGCATACATATATATATATATGCATCTGTACTTCCACATATAGACCCACACTTGCATATATATACATACAGTTATCTTTATATGTATATACAAATATATACAATATATATAAATGTGTCACATGTATATGTGTGTTATACATATATCATGTATATATGAGCATAGATGTATATAGAGACATGTGTAGACATGCCATACACATGTGTCTACATGTGTATATGAATGCACAGGGGGTTGCTACGAGTCAGAATCAACTCGATGGCAGTGAAGGTTTTTTTTGTATGTATGTATGTATGTATGTATGAGGAGCTCTGGTGGGATAGTGGATAAGACATCTGGCTGCTACCCAGAAGGTCAGCGGTTTAAACCTACCAGCTTCTCTGTGGAGGGAAGATGGGGTGATCTATTCCATAAAGATTTATAGCCTCAGAAACCCAATGACGGTCACTCTGAGTTGGGATTGATGCAATGGCAGTGGGTTCCGTGTGGTTCTTGTGTATGTGTGTGTACATAGACACACATACTTGCATTTCTATAAAGTGATGCGAATGGGGAAGCACTCAACTAGCCAAAAGCTGCCCGTTCAAGCCCAGAGGCGCCTCGGAAGGCAGTCCTGGTGATCCGCTCCGAAGGGTCACAACCATGAGAACCCCAGGGAGCAGCTCTACTCTGCACCCCCGGGGCCACGTGAGTCAGCGTCGACCTGACAGGAACTGATGACAGCGGTTTCTGTGCACACACACACACATACATTAGAGAGAGATTTGTTCCTGACATTTATATTGGTTCAGGACTGTTGGGGGCTGGCAAGTTCCAAATCCATTGGTCAGCCAGTGAGGAAGGAGAGGGATTCTGACAGAATGTCTAGTTACAGCCTGGAAACAGAATTCCCTTGGGGAGAGCTCCTTTCTGCTCCTAAGGCCTTTGGGTGAGTGGCCGAGGCCCACCCACATTATGGAGGATCATCTGCTTCCATGAGGCCAACTGATTCAGTCCCTCATAATTGACAACGGCAGCTAGACTCGTGTTTGATGGGACAACGGACTCCACTGCCCAGCCACCTGGACACTAGCAGTGAGCATTGTGCCTCCCTTCCTGGGAGCACCTGCCAAAGGACTCCCCACGCTCTGGAAACTCAAGGTCCCAGTGATCAGCACCAGATGTCAACTACAAGAAGTCCAGAGTAGACCCCGTGGGGTTCAGGAAGCCATGTTGTCACCTCCGTCATCCTGTTGCTATTGTGGTGGTGGTGCCGTTGAATCGTTCTGACTCGTAGTGACCCCGTGTACAACAGAACGAAACACTGCCTGGTCCTGGGCCATCCCCACCATCCTTGCTGTGTCTGAGCCCGTCGTCGCAGCCACAGTGTCAGTCCATCTCATGGAGGGTCTTCTTTTCCACTGACCTTTTCCTTTACGAAGCATGATGCCTTTTTCCAGGAATTGGTCCTTCCTGGTAACATGTCCTGAGTATGACAAAGTCTCACTGTCTTCCCTTCTAAGGAGCATTCTGGCTGAACTTCTTTAAGACAGATCTGTTCGTTCTTTTGGCAGTCCGTGGTACATTCTTTGCCAACACCAAAATCAAAGGCATCGGCTCTTCTTTGGCCTTCCTTATTCGTTGTCCAGCTCTCACACGCATGTGAGGGGACTGCAAACACCGTGGCTCGGGGCAGGGGCACCTCAGTCCTCAGTTGCTACGTTACGTCCTGTTTTCTCTCTGACCTTTCTCATCACCTCCCACGGATCTTTCCACTCCTGTGACTCGGGGTAGGCTGGCTGTGCTTCTTGACTTCTGCCGTTGCAGATTACAACGTTTCTCAACCGAGTTCCCGTTTTCTGAATTGCTTGCACTTCGGTTGTGGTCTGTCTCCCGGGCTTCGCCATCTTGGGCGAAACCTTGCGCAACACAGCACTTGCGCCTTGTGGCCTGAGGTGGGGGAGGGAAGGCGCCCGCTGCTTGGACGAGGCAGCTGGGGGCGAGAGGACGTCTCCACCCTGGGCCTTTGGAGGACTTCCACCAGTGAGCACTGCAGCAGGAGCTCACACTCCACAAAATGAAAGATGAAAGACGGCCAATTAGGAGGTGCTCTAGCATGTCCTCACACGAGGGCGAGAACAAGGGTGGCAACACGCAGGCGAGGGCCAGCTTGTTGGGAGCTGTGTGTTCTGCCTTAGAAACATCCTAACCTCACGGCCCTCGCGGCCCTAATGCCAGAGACTTTGAAGCAGGATAGAGTCACCAGGCCCTGGGGAGAATCGAGACTCCCCAAGCCAGGCCCTGCTAGGTCTTCACTGCTCCCCTGTCCACTGCAGAGGACCCTGTGAGGGGCTGACCAGCCACAGCCAGCGGTAGGGTGGGAGCTCTGTCCCAGGGATACTCGTCTCTGGTGAAACCATGATGCTTCTTGTTTTTAAGAGTGTTGAGACTTCAGCTTAGCTGTGCCGTTCACCACAGTTCCCAGGACTGCCCGCCACGTGTTTGGAAGCCTTGTCAAACCAGAGATGCTTCTAGGGCTTCTTAGGCAGATCGTTTGTCCCCTCAGGTAGATCCTCACTCCTTTATGAACTCTGTGTTTATATGGGACACACCATGGATCCCTGAGAGATGCAGATGGCTGAGGCACTCAGCTGCTGAGGCTGCAGGTTCGAATCCATCCAGAGGCACCTCAGAGGAAAGAACTGGGGATCTGCTTCGGGAAACCGGCCAGTGAAATTGGCACGTGTGGGGTCGCCAGAGTCGGGCCGACCTGAGGCCAACTGTAAAGGCAGACGACGCCAGGGGTTAGGGGCTGGGGTTGCCCTCACGGAGCTTGCATCACAGGCTTTTGTATGTTAGATGCGAGGTAAAGGCTGTGTAGACTGCGGACACAATGTGCACACTCCCAGCTCAGCCTGGGCTGAGAAACATGACAGTCATTCAGGTGGTTACAGGCTCCTTACGTCTGGTGAGTGGTGGGGCCACCAGGCCCATCACAGCCGCCCTTGCTGAGATGAGCAGACAAAACGCTGGGATGTTTGGGTGAGTGATGAACACAGCCCAGCTTGAGGTGCACTTTTGGTTGAGTGCCCCTGGGTCTGAAGGGGCGGACACAATAAGGCCATTCAATAATAATGATTATTGAATTAGTGAGGCAATGAATCAGGGAGAGGTCATTGGTATTGAAGTAAGAAAGTCTTGCTCCTGGTCAGAGTCTCAGGTCTGCCTGTAACCTGGAGGGCAGCTTCAGTTTCCCCATCAATGAGCGGACCACACACTTGTCCACACCATCCACTGGGAGGGAAGATAGGTTTGTCTGTGAGGATGGTAGGGTATGTCTATGTGGATGGCAAGGTTGTCTGTGTGGATGGCAGGGCTATCTGGATGGCAGGGTTGTCTGTGTGGATGGTGGGGTTTGTCTGTGCCGATGGTGGGTTTGTCTGTGTGGATGGTGGGGTTGTCTGTGAGGATGGTGGGGTTGTCTGTGAGGATGGTGGGGTTGTCTGTGTGGATGGCGGGGTTGTCTGTGAGGATGGTGGGGTTGTCTGTGTGGATGGTGGGGTTTGTCTGTGCGGACGGTGGGTTTGTCTGTGCGGACGGTGGGTTTGTCTGTGAGGATGGTGGGTTTGTCTGTGAGGATGGTGGGGTTTGTCTGTGAGGATGGTGGGTTTGTCTGTGA